CTAAAAAAAGAACAAACTAAAAAAAAATTTCAAAAACTGTGAGTGGTAAACTTGACAAAAAAAGCATTTCTTGTTGCTCTTTTCTTATTATTCATATTGTTTTCCTATTCAGCCATGATTCCGATGGCACAATATCTCTACCACAGATTGTGTATTATATATATATATATATATATATATATATATATATATATATATATATATATATATATATATTAATGCTCTCGCAACGGTAGTGGGGAGTCTTCTTTTCAGAAAAGTAAAACAGTGATGCCCCTTCAGCCATTTCGTTAAAGCAGCATACCACGCGAGCACTTGTTCTTCATAACCGTCAGAGCATCTCGTCGGGTTGTTCGGACTCTCACGTTGTTTACCAGTTCACCTGCGGTTGCGGTGACATTTACACAGGCAGAACAAACCGTCAGTTAGCTCAGAGGGTAGCTGAACACATGCCAAAGTGGTTGGGACAAGTGATTACGCAACAACATGGGATGAATCTGAGGGTCAATCGGAGCCCGGTATCGTCTATCACCAAGCACCTCATGACAACCCGTCATCACGTAAACCCCGAGACAGCGTTCAAAGTGTTATTACGTAACAAAAACCCGATAATGCTAGCAATTAGTGAGGCGTTGTTAATTAAGGCTTATCAACCTGTGCTATGTGCACAGAAACACTTGAGGCAATCCATTCGGTTGCAATGGTCTTGACTGTGACATTTTGGTTGGTGGTGCCTTTTTTCCCATGTATATAATCCCTTGTATGATTCAAACCATCAGTTCGATGCATATGAGATGCATTTATTCAAATGCTGTTTATCACACTGCAGTGAAAAAGTATATGGCATCATCGGAGAATAAATTTTCACCTATGCATTCAGAGAATCCTGTTGATTTCACAATTTACTAGATGTGGCTCTGCAGTCACTGGGTTTCTCCATCTTACAAATAAGGGGCATGCATGAAAGAAAAGCTGGCCGTTATACATATATATATATATATATATATATATATATTGATTTAAGGGGGTTCGGACCTCCAATGTTATCAAACTTAAATATCGCAACAGCTGCAGAAGACATTCCATATGCTAGGTAAAAGAACGCACTCGTTAATCATCAAGCATTTTTATGCACAAACACATACTTTCCTAATGAAGATAGTTAACCGCATTCCTTGGGAACAGAGTTTTTTAATGCTAGAAATACAACTATATTGTATTATGGGAGTCAGAATGAGAAGCAGCTTGTTCGCGAAACTGCTCGAGGTTCGCCACTCGGTCCGGCTTGTCTCTCCAAATTTTCAACCAAAAATTCCACCTAAGCATTCATGTTTCTCACTGGATGTAACTGTTCCCGCGCCCAACTGCAATTCAGTGTAACAGTGATTTGCGCAATATTGCAACTCATGTAGACCAGAACCAGGTAGCAGATCAAATAGGGAAAACAAGGGTGCTTAAGCACCCATAGACCTTTCCGCTCCACATCCGAAGTTCCAGCTAAACTAAACAAGGCCACATGGCACGCGTTTGAAGAAGCTGTACACTACTCACGAGTAGCTGAGCAGGTGCCCATGTGTGACAAGATTAGTTTGGGCAGTACTCAGTGAACACGTTTGTTTTCATTGGTGAATACGCGATTCGTTTCGCTTAGAGTGATTTTTTTGGTCTTGTAGCGATAAACGAAACAGCTAGAAGAATCGACAAAACCTAGCTGGTCAAAAATATCAGTTGAGTTGATATCAGCACAAGGTTGAGCCAGAAATGGGCTTAGCTGCTGATTGCTATGGCAAACGCATCCACCATGCAGGTGTCCCAAAACGATTGGCTTAGCAAAACTGTTAATGACTGATTGCAATGTCATTTTGAAGTTTTCGGTGTATGATTGGATTGCGACGCAGAACGTACATGAGGACACAGTGGTGCTCATTGACGTGTTTCCAGCCGTGAACGTCTGGCCTGGAGGGGCAAAGGTCCCGGACTAAAATCAAAATAGTCCCAGGTTCGAGATCAGCTATCTCTACTTGATGAGATCAAACGAGCTGGAAACGCGCAATGGAGTGCAGTGTTTTCGGACTGGCAACATCCGATACATATGTACACATAATCAGAGCGGTGTACGGACGTCGTTTGGGCGCGAAAGGGTTTATAGCAAACTGTCGCCGCCCTTCAGTATCTCCAGCGGTGTGAGACAAGGTTGCCCGCTGTCACTTTTCTACTTAGCTATGCTATTCACGAAGTCATGGAAGGATCGTTCGCTGGAAACGACCTAGAAGGTGTGGAGCTATTTCCTGGGGAGCGACTTCTTGACTTAGAGTATGCTGACGACATTGTCCTACTCTGTGACACTTCACCAAGGTGCCAAGCAACAGTGGACAGATTAGCACTAACCAGCAATTGTTTTGGGTTATGCCTTGCTCCTTCGAAATGCAAAGTTCTCTTCCAAGATTGACAGGGGCCCACCCTGGGCTGACCGTCGTTGGTGATCAGCTGGAAATCGCTCAGGAATTCAACTCTCTGAACAGGTATATTAGCTCCTGTGGGAGCGAACATAAAGCTGCGAACAGTATAGTAAAAGCTCGAGGCGCTTTTGCCAAGGTTCGCCACTTGTGGTGCCGACGTGACTTAACTCCTCGCCCTAAAGGGCAGAATTTATAATGCAGCCGTCCGTTCAACCCACTTTTAAGGTTATGAAACCTGACCCAGCAAGTCTACAGACAAAGTGGCTAATCACCTTCGACCACCGCTGTCTTTGAACGTTGGCTCATATCTGGTGGGAGCAATGAGCGTGTTTGGCGTCGCGTATTTGATGCAGAAAGCGAGAGTGAACCGCTCAACACCATTATATCACGCACCAGACTCTGATGACTGGGCCACGTGTTGCGCATGCCAGCACACCGACTCCCGCGATGTGCATAGTTTGCGCGCCGGGGGTGCGGTTGAAAGAGGAGGAGGGGAGGCCAAGCGATGAGATAGCGGAAAGAAATGAAAACCCTTACTTCGAATTTGGCATCGGTGGGTTCATCCGGACTGCCTGGATGGGGTCCGAAGAACGATAAACAAGTTTGGTTGGACAAACTTGCTGCTATAGCGACGAACCGGTCCCAATGGGGTTTGTGTTGTGGGTTTCTTTACCAATTCCCTTATCTTTTAGATTCTCACTCCAGTTATGGTCTAATTACAAATTAATGGTATAATATTTAACCTTGGATTACTTGCTTTTGAATGTTTGTGGTGTAAGTTTTGTATCTTATCTTTTATAGTATGGCTGCATATTAACTGAGATGTAGTTCTCACCCACTACTAAGCTAGATTGATGGCGAATTTCTATGCGACTTGGCTACGGCCCTAGTGATCGCATTAGCCAACGTACGCTTCAATAGGAAACCAGGTCCACGTTGAGATGATAAGCATATAATGTGTATTTTCCCACCGTTGGTCTCGGATTGTGAAACGCAATCTCATTGGTGGCTTCGGTTGAATTTGAAGTGAGGCTCTGCCATTATGGTCACTGGGACCATCACCGAAGTGGAGGGCTTCAGTATGGCTCCCTCACATCCCTACACTCTGCAATCGACGGTTTCGTCCTTGTTTGGACTCATCAGGTAGAGAATGACTTCAAAGTTGATTGAGGCCACGAGTCAGATTACGTGTCTTAATCAAAGACACAAGGTGGGTTCTCCAAAAAGTCAAAAAGTGACTTCTAACCGCTGTATCAAGCACTGCTTGCGGAGCTCAATTACCTAGTGTTTATGACAGTAGACGCCAAGAACTATGTGCCGAGATCCACTCCCAGCTTGGCGATCTCTACATGATGAGTCCAGACCAGGATGAAAGCGTCCGTCGTGAAGTGTATGGATGAGAGAGATCCACATCGAAATCTTTCATACAAGGAGTACTACAAAATGACTCTGCAGTCATATACATATATCACCGTTTTGCTAATTGGACCCCTGCAGAACTGAAACGTTTGGATTGAATACCATCCCAACGATTGATACAAAGGCCAAACACCCAAATTTGGGTTGCCCACATGGAGTTATTATTCAGCGGTTCTTTAATGCGTATTGTTATTACTCTGCAAAGATTGCTATTCTCGGAATTCCATAGGTAGATGACGCAACGGAACGCGATCAATGTGCATCCACTCTGAGTATTGCACTGGAGAGCACAAGCATACATCCAATCATGACTCTTACAGAGCAGAAATGCACTCGAGGCCACGCAGGTGGACACACAGCTACTGTCCAAGGCGGGCAAAATTCCCGTGATAATGCCTCAGGATCATGTAAACATCAGATGGGGGATACCACGTTATGCGTACTGTTGACTCGCGTATAAGCTGCGAGCAACAGGCATAAGTAGCAGGTGTACAGAAATGAGTACTAGAAACACTCTGCGTTTGAACATGCAGCGATTGTCAGCGTAGTTATATCACGAAATCAGCAAAGGTCGCTGACGAAAGCAAACATCCACCATGATATGGAGTTGGATTCCTGGTACAAGACTGGTCCAGAATGATATGGCCAGTGGGAATCCCCTTGAGTGCATGATGAAGGACGATTGACTGGTTTGGCAACTTGCGCTGAACATTATCGGGCCAGTTGGATTTACGGCGCACAGCAAGACCTTATGAAACAGAGGATTAATGAATAATAGTTTCGGCAAACGAACTATCTTGGCGGGGTAACGCCGTGGGCAAAAAGCCAGGTTAACATGCTTATTCGGCTGCAGCACAGCTAGGAGGTAGCAAATGCTCAAATTGTTCATGTTCGCCTTGGAATTCCAAGCAGTCAAGAAGGGTGACGTGAAGGAATGTGAATCTCAAAACACAACTATCCATTTAGTTGCAACACAAAGCATGTGTAAAGCCAGTAAGCATCGAGATGGTAATGCAGTTCAGTTGATCACTGTAAAACCGGCATCGTTCACGGAGGTGCAACTGAACTATGATATTACGAATAAAAATTGGTCTAATATAGTTCGATTCCAGTTACACTTACTTCCAGCCATGCGACCAAAGTTGCGCTGGTCCAATTCGTAAAGGGTATCTGAGAATCGAAAGCTTCTTGGAGCAGGTCTTTCCTAGACATCAAATAAAGTGGAAATGAGAGCGTAGTTGCGCACGAGGCTAATACACGCTGCGTGTAAAGGTAAGAAGTTAAACAACCAAACCATGTGTATTTATGAATTGCCATTCTCATGCTAGTATCGGTGCTATTGTTGGCGGAAAGTAAAGCATTCCCTCAGGGAATGTGAATTTCATCGACTAAAATAGTTGCTACAAACGGGGCCCGATGTTGTAAGAGAAAAGTTCAAATTCTCACTCATTGCAACGGTGTTTTGTGCATATATGGTTACAATGTCATGTAATAAGTAATGGGGTATGTTGTGATCACGTCTGGAGTAAATGCAAAAGGTTTGTACACAGTTTAACTTCATTGAAAACAATGATTGACTCATGCATCCGTCGTATTGGTGGTTCGTACACCAATCACGTGATTTTATTGGCAAGAGCTGATATCTGTTCACCGCCTGGTTCCTGACACGGGTAGTGATGAGATGATTTCACTACAGAGGACCATTTTGGGGATCAAGAGACACGGCATTCTCTCGAGAAAATCGAGGCTAGGAGTACCCTGTACGCACAGTAGAAAGTTACCTAAACGCAATTGTCGCAATTTCCATCCTTTTTGGTTTTGTAATTAGTGTAATTGTTGTAGAAAGTAGAAGTCACGATTAAAGTTTGCACAATAATCTGCCTCGACGGGGATTCTGTTTTCTATACCATTTTCCATTGAAGTTGGACATTCGGGCAAAACATTTACGCCTGGGGGTCAACGGGGTTGCTCCTCCGGGGCAATCAAGTTGAGTCTTCGCTATGCGGAATAGAATCACTCACTGGCATGGTAGGGGCTGTTTCATTGGCCAAGCGCCTTCAGCAAATAGGACCTCAAGCGCTTGGCCAATGAAACAGCCCCTACCATGCCAGTGAGTGGTTCTATTCCGCATAGCGAAGACTCAACTTGATTGCCCCGGAGGAGCAACCCCGTTGACCCCCAGGCGTAAATGTTTTGCCCGAATGTCCAACTTCAACGGAAAATGGTGTAGAATTACGTACTATCCATCTGGTGTGCTGTTACGTATACATAATTACATCGCATCATTATCATCATACACGTTAGCTAGAAGTAAGAAGCATCTCAGCTACTGTGCCGCAACAAATAAAAGAATAAAGGGAAAAAAGGCAACAGATGCAAGCCAGCCGAGCGACCGGAAACGGATAAATATCTTTCCGGTAAGCTACCAGCCGGCTACTATGTAGCAAAAAACATTTACAATACAAAACTATATGAGGCTAAGTAGTGAGGTCGTGGTTGGAGGGGGAGGCTAAAAGGGATGGAGAGGGACAATGAGACTCACAACACGAACGCCACTGAGGTCGGCTCCTAGCCATGTGAGCAATTGCATCCAGCCAAATGTGTTCATCGACTTTCGGGCCCCAACAAGGGAGCCGAGACGATCCAAACGAGGCCAGCTCAGAAGTGAGGGTTTTCACTCCTCTGGACCAAGTCATCGATTGGAATCCCCCAGTTCTCTTCCATCAATACCCCCGGCGTGCAAACAACGCAAGTCGCGGGAGTCGGCGTGCTGGCACACATAGCATGTGGCCGAGCCATCGGGGCATGGTGCTTGAAATAACGGTGCTAAGCGGTTCATCACCTTTTCCTGTGCCGTAAGCAATGCGTCGAACACGCTCGTTACTCACGCGGTGTTCCCACCAGATGTGAGCCAAATTGCGAAGGCACCGATGGTCGAACGTAACTAGCCTCTTTATGTCCGCTGAGCTAAAAGGCCAGATTTCACAACCGTACAGTAGGGCCGAAGGTACCACTGCAAAGTACACTATACTCTTCAGGCAGAGTGATAGCGCGACAGCGCCCTAAATGGTGTACGTTAGCAAAAGCACTTCGAACTTTTGATATACGGCGCGTGATCTCACCTTAAGTCCCACGGGCACTGATACAACATTCCAGCTAGTTGAATTCTGAACTACTTCTAGCTGATGCCCACCAAAGGTTAGCACAGAAGGTGGTCCCTGCTAATCTTGGAGGAAAGCTTACAATTCGATGGTGCGCAGCAAAGCCCGAAGTGACGGACAGCCAGTGCTAATCTGTCCAGTGCAGATCAGCACGTTTGGGAGCACTCACAGATCAGGGAGATATCCCAGCATACTCTAAGTCAAGAAGTCTTGCAAGTGGAAGCAGCTCCACAGCTAAGTCGTGTCCTGTGAACGCAATTTCCATGACTTCGGCAATAGCGAATTTAAAAAGGAAAGGTGACGGCGATCCAATTTGTCTCACACCGCTGGAGATATTGATGGGCGATGACAGCTGGCCGTAAGCCCTCACTCGGCCCGAGCTAGGCGCGTATCATGCTGGGGTAATAGTTACACATATCAAGCGTACACCTTTCCTGAGTAGACTGTCCCAAAGGGTACATCGATCAACCGAATCGAAGGCACCATTGATATCGAGGAACAGGACAGTGACGGTGCTCCAGCAGCTGACGCAAAATGAAGATGTGTTCAATGCAGCCACAACCGCGACGAAAGCCGGCTTGCTCTTCACGAATCTGGCCTTCACGGGTGCCAGTCAGTTAGTGAAGGAGGACAGAGGTATGCAATTTGAAGGCGATGGAGATCAGACTGATTCCTCTGTGGTTGCTGCATTCCGAACGCGAGCCTATTTTAAAGACACGGAACAATAACGGAGCGGCTCCAGTCGGTTGGGACAGCTTTCTGCTCCCACAGTTTCACTAGTAACTCGTATAAATCATCAACAAGGGCAGTGTACCCGAATTTCGATGGCTGGGGAAGGAGCATCTAGTCCCGAGGCCTTATTCAACTTCAACAGTGCGATCTCACGCCCAGCTTCTGAGCGGGAGCGCAGATCCAAGGGGACGGTCCACGGAGCAGGGCGATTAGTGGCCAACGAGAAACTGATAATTCCGACCGATTAAATTGCCTTGCAAAGTGCTCAATCCAACACTCCAAATGTTTTGACAAATTTTGAATAGGATCTCCACTCACGTCCCGTATAGTTTCACTAACACCATGTTTCCTGCTGCTCGTTTCCCGTATCAGCGAAATAACCTACGGTGGTAACCAAGGGCAGCGGCTATTTCCATCTCTGATGCACGTCGAGACCACCAGAATTCACGGTCTCTCTTCAAGCTAGCACGGAGTCTTGCTCGGAGTTTCCTGCGAGTTTCAATGTGTTTGCTTCCAACCGGAATATGCCGGCGAGCATCTATAAGTTCCAGAGACTGTGAAGAGACCCACTGTCCATGTTAGCTATTAGACTTAGCGCATGAAAAGTTGCCTGCTGCGAGTAAGGTCTGGTGAACATGAGACCAGTGCGCTTCAATTGTATCCAGTGAGCGCTTACTCAACCAACATGACAGCATAATTCGCTGCGCGTTCAAAACAGCTGACTTCGTCAGCTGGCCAGTGTCGATTCGCTCACACTGTTGTCTTGGGCGTCCACCAAAACGCATCAGCAGGTCAACAAGTACAAATACATGGCCGGTGTCCACACATGTGTTAAAGCTCGAGCGACAGTTCTGGACGCAGCCTTTCCATCGGTAACTTAACGCAAAGTGATTGAATTGCGTTCATAGCTGGTTCGAGGCTGATGGGATCCAAGTCACCTTACATCAACTCCTGTGTCGGAGTTAATGCTCGCAAGATATAAGCGGGCATCTTCACACAATTGGAGTGACCGCTCACCTTTATGCTTACGGAAGACTACACCGTGTTGGTCACTCAGATGCAGTTCCTCAGTGGATAATTATCCGACTTGAGCGTTCAGAAAACCAGCCAGTACTACAGTGTCCGAGCTTCTTCTGTGGCGATGCAGCTAGTTCAGTTGGCGATAGAAGCCGCCTTTTACTGAACCATCGCTAGAGTTTGTGTGCGCATAGGCTGCTATCACAAACAGACACCTCGCAGTCCTACGCGACTTCGAAGCTTTGAACGAGCCAACCAATCGGACTACACACATCTGGCAACTGATTTGGATGCAAGTAACCAGAAGGGCTTCAGTCCGGGGACTCAAGGAAATACCAACACCGGCCTGACCGGTGCTCAAAGCTGCATCGTCATTGGATAGGCGCAATAAGAAAGTGCTGCTGGTGTCACATGAAGGGGATCGCAAAGTGAGCACTGAGCTCGAGTCTTGCAGGCGGTTTAACGATAAACAGCAGATATCGATTGAGAGGGTCTCTATTGTCCTGGCAAGTGCTGTCTGTTGACCGATCTGTAGCAATGTGGATACACTGAGGTACGTCAAGCTGAAGGAGGATCGAGGGCACCAAATGAAGCCGATAAACTGGGGTGGGCCGCTTCGTTGAGCATGGGTTTGTCGACAGAGTAGGTGTGACACTACCCGTTAGCATGTGAGTTGAAACTAGAAGGTAAAATCCTATCAAAGCAAGGCGGGGAAGAGCCAAGAATTAGGCGGTTGAAAATAAGGGGATAAAAGTGAAACTGCAAGGGAATGATAAGGGCAAAAAAGCGTAAGAGGTGGAATGAGAAGATTGGAAGGCCTGAGCAGTAGCGTCCAAACCGCTGTTCACGCTGCTCGATGCAGCAAATAGGATAACGTTTAATATGCTTTGCGGCGACCCGAGCAACATTAAGATGTTTGACGAAAGATTCGTACCGTTGTGTGGGCAGGATACTGTCAGGTTTCCCTGGTCTAGTCAGGAGAATGATTAAGGTTGTCAATCAAAGCCCTTCGTTTAAAACCTGATCGCAAGGCAGCGGGTTTGGCGGGGGGCTACAATGAGCCCGTTTTAAGGAACATGGAGTCAGCCCCATTCTTATCCCCAACCTAGAGGACTAGGAGGCTGAGTTTGTCTGACATCTAATTTTCGACCCATCTGGTCTGAGTGGCTCTCGAGGTCCATCATCATCATCATCATCATCATCATCATCATCATACACGTTAGCTAGCGGTGGAGAACACCTCAGCTACTGTGCCGCAATACATAGAAAATAGCAGAAAAAGCGACTGGTGCAAGCCGGCTGAGCTACCGGTAACGGATGGGCATCGTTCCGTTAGGCTACAAACCGGCTACTGTGCATCAAAATGAATTACTATGCAAAATTATATAAGGCTAAATAGTGAGATCGTGGTTGGAGGGGAGACTAAGAGGGATGGGGTGGGACAAAGAAACTCACAGCACCAACGCTACTGAGGTCGGCTCATAGCCATATCAGCAAGTGTGTACAACCAAACGTGTTCATCGTCTTTCGGACCCCAATCAGGGAGCTGAGACGCTCCAAACGAGTCCAGATCAGAAGTGAGGGCCTTCATTCCTCTGGACCAAGTCATCGCTTGGCCACCCCTCCTCTTCTTCCATCCACACCCCCGGCGCGCAAACAACGCAAGTCGCGGGAGTCATTGGGCTGGCATGCGTAACACGTGGCCGAACCATCGAAGCATGGTGCGTGAAATAACGGTGCTAAGCGGTTCATTTCCATTCCATGTGCCGTAAACAAGGCGTCGAACACGATCGTAGCTCACGCGGTGTTCCCACCAGAGGTGAGCTAAATTGAGAAGGCACCGGTGGTCCAATGTAACTAGCTTCTTCAGGTCCGTTGCTTTAAGGGGCCAGGTTTCACAACCGCAAAGTAGGGTCGAACGTACGGCTGCATTGTACACTCCACCCTTCAGGGCAAGTGTGATGTCGCGCTGCCACCAAAAGTGGCGAAGGTTAGCAAAAGCGCCCCGAGCTTTTGCTATACGGTTTGTGATCTCATCTTCAATCCCACGGGCGCTGATACAACTTCTCAGGTAGTTGAATTTTTGAACGACTTCTAGCTGAGCCCTACCAACGGTCAGCGTAGGAGGCGGTCCAGACCAATCTTGGAGGAAGGCTTCGCACTTGGAGGGTGCGAAACAAAGCCCGAAGCGACGGACAGCTAGTGCTAATCTGTCCAGTGCCACTTAGCACGTCTGGGAGCTGTCACAGATTAAGGCAATATCATCAGCAATGAGCATGGACCCTACCGTAGTGCGATGGTTTTTTGTGTCTCAGGAATCCGTTGAGCTATACTGCGTGGTGCATTTTTGCACCTTCAGATCCACTCATACCAGATTGGTCAATGGTTAGAGGCCAGACAAACTCAGCCTCCTGGTCCTCCAGGTTGGGGGCTGGAATGAGGGTGGCTCTATGCCTTAAAACGTACTCCTTGTAGTCCAATGCCAAACCCGCTGCCTTGCAGATAGGTTTTTGAACCAAAGTCTTTGGTTGAGAACCCTAATCGTTCTCCTGTCTAGGCCTGGGCAACCTGACAGTATCCTGCCCACGCAATACTATGAATCTCTGAAGGTTAAAAAATGCCGCACTCAGCATAGCTCAACGGATCCTTGAGGCACGCAAACCATTGTACTCCGGTAACGTCCAAACTCATTGCGATGGCAATACATCGGCAGTCACAAACATGTTGCGATTTAGTGCGAGACAAAACCTTATTTTTAGAGGAACAAGTAAGATACAGATTTGCTTGTGCAAACGTACATGACTGCAGACTTTCGTTTGGACCCGGAGGTTCACTGATTCATTTCGCCAACCCAATTAGTCATTTGGAATCGTTAATTTTGCCTTCATATAGCAGGGCTACTTTAAGGCTAACAATTTCACTTTCCGTTCGTTTTGTGCGCCTCAGTAGTTCCTTATCTGTTCAGTCTCTTGGTTTTATATGTCTGCACGCTTTCCATACTCTGGTTAGCTTTCGTGCTTAAGTGTCACGCCATATAACGAAGTGGTTTCTTTGTAAAAGAACCCTTGAATCCTTGTCCCTGATCGTTCGTGCTCTCACTACCATTAGCGGGTGGAAGTAGTCGCGGGGCTCTGACATAACGTTTATTTGTTTGGTTAAGGGTTATATGCAAACGGAACAACGTCCAAAAGCAGCTAGCTTTCTGAACTATACTGCAAAACTGGCTTAACTTCTATTGCACGTTACACCTCGGATTATCCCCAAATGAAGTGTCTAAGTCAAAGAGGAAATTGACGAAGCATCACAATACCTGGAGCTAGCAAAACTGAAATAACCTTAATTCGTAAATTATGCCTATGGTAAGATCAGAAAACCAAGTTGCGAAGAGGTGCTCTCATTTCGGTAACTCCTCCGGGAAGAATGTACAAGATGTAAAGCTACTAAGTACGCCAGTGAAAGCAGTAGTAAAGTTAGCAAAGAAACTGGTTTGTACAAATCTGGTGATCCCTCAATCAATACTGACATCGATCTACACAAGGCGAGTAGATCGTGACAGCCAGTGGGATGAAATTCATCATGGTTTTCTTTCAGCGTCCCTATGTGGTGGCATAGCCACCCAACAGTGTAAAAGAAGTGCTTGGACAATAGCCTGTAGCTTGCACAAATATGGCTGAGTCAATTTGATTGCAATCGCCTCAGTTGTCTTCAAGATGCATTTTCTAAGTCCTTTCGGATGTTGCTTTGATACGGCGTAGAGACTCGAAATGAATCTTCTGTCCGTATCTCATGGCTACTTTGAAATAGGGGTTCCATGACAGCACTGTTAGGATTTCTGATTGCTCCTCTTCGTAGGGAACTTGGACAGTGTTTTGCTGTCCGTTTGGACAGACGTCGGCTCGCATGCGCTTTATAACTTACACCACAGGTGCATGTAATAATATATGGAACAGTACACCAATTTCTGTTTTGTAACTTTGAAATACAAAGAAAACTTGATTTGTTGCTTGTATTATCGTGTTGACAAAACCTGTAGGCCGGGAACGTTGGGAAAGGTAAAGCACCGCATCTTCCGAAAGCTGCAAAAGAACGATTACCCCGATCAGTTAATTAGAAAACACGTCAAGGTCCGTGGTTGGCAAAAAACTTTTATGACTGCACGAAAGAAAGATGCTTTTTCTCAGTTCCGTCCAAATGTGATGTCGCTTTTGATCTACTGAGCAGATGAGTCTCTACGGCAGTTGCTGAAGCCTACTCGGCATCCTATCCGCATATTCTTGCACAGACGAATCCGTTTATCACCCAACGCCTTAAGGACAGACTACGGGTTCAGTCCCAATCACATGTTCTACACAAATTTACTTGCACCCGTGGTGTGTGATATGTGGGGCATACGATGAGACGCCTGTCCAAAAGGATAGCAGAACACTGTCCAAGGTCCCGACGAAGAGGAACGGTCAGAAATCCTAACAGTCCTCTCATGGAACCCCTATTTCCAAGTAGTTATGAGATGCGGACAGAAGATTCATTCAGTCTCTACGCTGTATTAAAGCAACATCCGAAAGGACTTAGAAAATGCATCTTGAAGACAGCTGAGGCGATGGCAATCAGATTGATTCAGCCATATCTGTGCAAGCGGAGGGCTGTTGTCCAAGCACACCTGTAACCATGGCCGAGTGGCTACTCCACTGCATGGGGATGCTGAAGGCAATTTCATCCCATCAGCTGTCACGATACTGGCCTCGAGTGGTTCGACTCTAGTATCGATTGAGTTAACCAGCTTTGCACAAATCCCGTTTTTTGCTAACCTTAGTGCTGCTTTCACTAGCACAATAAATCCGTTCGCACTTTGTAAATAAAAGGGATTTTTGAAATCCCGTCTTTTCTTTCATAGCCTCACTGATCGAGACAACAAAACGTTCATTAGGAACGAAGCTTGTTTTGAATCCAGATTGCTTGTCACAGACATTAGCAACCAGCATGCGCTCGGAAAAACGAATGCAAACTTTGTTGAACTCACTTTGTCATTGAGCGTCCATCTTCTGTGGCCCGATGCATGCGACTAGATTCCTCAATGATCCCTTCCGGTTCCCACTCTACAAAAGATGTGAATACTGAATACTGAGAGTAGAGAGCTAGAAACTGAAAAGCTGTAATGCTCCATCGTAGGTGGATCGGGCACATGCGCAGGATCATGTCATTGATGACTGCGCGGTCGCAGCATACTGCAGCTGCACTACATCTCATCCGGGTACGACACGAATTCCGCAAAGAGAGCGTCAAGGAAGCTCTTGAATTCCGACACCATCATCATCATCATCATACACGTTAGCTAGCGGTGGAGAACACCTCAGCTACTGTGCCGTAATACAAAGAGAAAAAAAGGAGAGAAAAAATCAACTGGTGCAAGCTGGCTGAGCTACCGGTAACGGATGGGCATCGTTCCGGTAAGCTACCAGCCGGCTGCTGTGCATCAAAAAAATTTTTATGCAAGATTATATAAAGCTAAATAATGAGATCGTGGTTGGAGGGGGAGGCTAAGAGGGATGGGGTGGGACAAAGAAACTCACAGCACCAACGCTACTGAGGTCGGCTCATAGCCATATCAGCAAGTGTGTACAACCAAACGTGTTCATCGTCTATCGGACCCCAACCAGGGAGCTGAGACGCTCCAACCGAGGCCAGCTCAGAAGTGAGGGCCTTCATTCCTCTGGACCAAGTCATCGCTTGGCCACCCCTCCTCTTCTTCCATCCACACCCCCAGCGCAAACAACACACGTCGCGGAAGTCGGTGAGCTGGCATGCGTAACACGTGGCCGAGCCATCGGAGCCTGATGCGTGAAATAACGGTGCTGAGCGGTTCAGTTCCTTTTCCTGTGCCATAAACAAGGCGTCGAACACGATCGTAGCTCACGCGGTGTTCCCACCAGATGTGAGCTAAATTACAAAGGCACCGGTGGTCGAACGTAACTAGCCTCTTCAGGTCCGCTGCTTTAAGCGGCCAGGTTTCACAACCGCAAAGTAGGGTCGAACGTACGGCTGCATTGTACACTCCACCCTTCAGGGCAAGTGTGATGTCGCGCTGCCACCAAAAGTGGCGAAGGTTAGCAAAAGCGCCCCGAGCTTTTGCTATACGGTTTGTGATCTCATCTTCAATCCCACGGGCGCTGATACAACTTCTCAGGTAGTTGAATTTTTGAACGACTTCAAGCTGATCCCCACCAAGGGTGAGCGTAGGAGGCGGTCCAGACCAATCTTGGAGGAAGGCTTCGCACTTGGAGGGTGCGAAGCAAAGCCCGAAGTGACGGACAGCTAGCGCTAATCTGTCCAATACCGCTTCGCACGTTTGTGAGCTGTCACAGATCAGGGCAATATCATCAGCATCCTATAAATCAAGAAGTCGTTCTCCTGGGAGTAGCTCCACACCTTCTAAGTTGTGTCCTGTGAACGCGATTTCCATGACTTCGTCAACAGCGACGTTGAAGAGGAAAGGTGACAGCGGGCATCCTTATCTCACGCCGCTGGAGATATTAAAGGGCGACGACAACCTGCCGTAAGCCCTCACTCTGCTCGAGCTACGCGCATATAATGCTCGGATAATGTTCACATATTTCTCAGGTACACCTTTCCTAAGTAGACCGTCCCAAGGTGCATGTCTATCCACAGAATCGAATGCACCTTTGATATCGAGGAATACGACAACGGTGGGCCGCCAATATATGTGACGGTGCTCCAACAACTGACGCAAAGTGAAGATGTGGTCAATGCAGCTACGACCTCGGCGAAATCCAGCTTGCTCTTCGCGAATCTGGCTTTCACGAGTGCCAATCAGTCTGTGAACGATGACAGAGGCAAGCAATTTGGAGGCGATGGAGATCAGACTGATTCCTCTATGGCTGCCGCATTCCGATCGTGAGCCTCCTTTGAAAATTGGGACTATGATGGACCGGCTCCAATCGGTTGGGACAGTTTCCTGCTCCAAGAGTTTGACTAGTAACTCGTGTAAACCATCCACAAGAGCAGGTCCCCCGAATTTGAAGAGGGCTGGAGGAAGGTCATCAGGTCCCGCGGCTTTGTTAAACTTCAAGAGTCTGATCTCATATTCGACTTCTGAGCGAGAGGGTGGATCCGAATGAACAGCCCACGGAGCAGGGCGATCACTGGTCGGCGAGAAATCTAACAATTCCGACCGATTAAATTGCCTTTCAAAGTGCTCAGCTCAACGCTCCAAGCGTTTTGATACGTTGTGAATAGACTGTCCACTCTCGTCACGTATAGTTTCACTAACACCAGGTCCCCTGCTGCCCGTTTCCCGTATCAGACGGAATAACTCACGATGGTTACCGAGGGCAGCGGCCATTTACATCGCTGTTGCACGACGAGACCACCAGGTTTCGCGGTCTCTCTTCATGCTAGCACGGAGTTTTGCCCGGAGATCTTTGCGAGTTTCATTGTGTTCGCTTCCAGCCGGAATATGCCGGCGAGCATCTATAAGTTCCAGAGACTGTGAAGAGACCCAATGTTCATGTTGGCGATTAGACATACCACATGAGGATTTGCCTGCTGCTAGTAAGGGTTGTTGCATATGAGACCAGTGAGCTTCAATTGCATCAAGTGAGCGTTTATCCAACTCGTATGACAGCGTAATATGATAGGCGTTCAGAACAGCTGGATTCACCAGTCTGCCGGTGTCAATGCGCTCACAACATCGTCGCGGACGTCCGCCAAAGCGCATCCGCAGGTCAGCACATACAAGTGCATGATCGGTGTCAACACCTGTGCTCCAAATCGAGCGACAGTTCTGGATGCAGCCTCTCCAGAGGTAACTGATAGCAATGTGATCGATTTGCGTCCATAGCTGGTTCGAGGCTGGTGGGCGCCAAGTCACCCTCCGGCGGGTGCTGTGTCGGAAATTAGTGCTCGCAAGAAATAAGCAAGAATCCTCACACAAATGAAGTAACCGCTCACCGTTATCATTACGGGAGCCTATACCATGTTGGCCGCCCAGATGCAGCTCTGTGGATAATTTTCCAACTTGAGCGTTCAGATCCCCAGCCAGCACTACAGTGTCCGAGCTTCTTCTGTGGCAAAGCAGTTCGTTCAGTTGGCGATAGAAGTCGTCTTTCACCGAGTCATCGCTACAGTTTGTCGGTGCATAGGCAGCGATAACGAATAGACACCTGTTAGTCCCACGCGACTTCGAAGTTTTGAACGAGCCAGCCAATCGGACCGCACACATCCGGCTACTGATTGGAATCCAATCAACCAGAGCAGCTTCAGCCCGGGGACTCAGGGTAATACCAACACCGGCTTGGCCGGTGCTCGAAGCTGCATCGTCACCGGATAGGCGCAATGAGAAAGTGCTGCTAGTGTCACTTGAAGGGGATCGCAGAGTGAGTACAGAGCTCGAGTCTTGCAGGCGGGTCTCCGATAAGCAGCAGATATCGATCGAGAGGGTCTCTAATGTTTGGGCAAGTGCTGCCTGTTGACCGATCTGAAGCAATGTGCGAACATTGAGGCATGCCAGTCTGAAGGAGGATCGAGGGTTCCAAATGGAAGTCGATGAACTGGAATGGGCCGCTTGCTTGGACATGGGCCTGTTGACAGTGCAGGAATGACGCTCAAGGTTCGCCTGTGAGTTGAAACTAAAAGACAAGCGACTATTGAAGCAAGGTGGTGGAGGGCCGAGAATTGGGGGGTTGAAAACAGGGGGGATAAAATTGAAGCTGAAACGGGACGATAACGGTGAAAAAGCGCAAGTGGGGGAATAAGAAGATGGGAAGGCTTGAGCAGTAGCATCCAAACCCCTATCCACCCTGCTCGATGCAGCAGATAGGGCACCGTTGATTATCCTCTGCGGTGGCCAGAGCATCAGCAATTTGTTTGGGGAAAGATTCATTGTATTGCGTGGGCAGGATACTGTCAGGTTGCCCAGGCCTAGACAGGAGAACGATTAGGGTTCTCAACCAAAGCCTTTGGTTCAAAAACCTGTCCGCAAGGCAGCGGGTTTGGCACTGGACTACAAGGAGTCCGTTTTAAGGAATAAGGAGCCACCCTCATTCCAACCCCCAACCTGGAGGACCAGGAGGCTGAGTTTGTCTGGCCTCTAACCATTGACCAATCTGGTATGAGTGGCTCTGAAGGTGCAAAAGCACCACCCAGTATAGCTCAATGGATCACTGAGGCACACAAATAATCGCAGCACGGTAAGGTCCAGCCTCATTGCGATGGAATTCCGACACCGATTTTGTCTCGACCAGCATCTTCAGCAATTTGTTCCAATATTTCACTACTAGACGTTCGAAGCACAGAGGGTGAGCGATGTGCTTTAAATCCGGTACCACCAGGTTGAACCGATGTTTACGTGTGCTGCTTGGTGCGCGAACCTGCAGCAGCAGATTCAACATAGGGAAGTGGCCCAAGTACAATATCCGGTGCGTCATAATGTGATCAACTCGAAGCCGACGATATGACACGGTATCAAGCCCCAATCTCTTACATTGGTCCTCGTACGACATACCCCATAAACTAAGGATGAGTCGGGTAGCTACATGCTAGACCCGTTCCAGCATCCCGTTCCTGCATCTCACCTATTGTGAAGGAACAATAGGCGGATGAGCCGTAGCCAAGCAACGGTCTTATTATGGAAGAGAACAGACGGGTGGCAATCTCTTCAGACCAAGTGCAGAAGCTACGTCTAAGTACCCAAAGCAGGCGTAGTCCGTTTTCGTACAGTCTGTTGGTATTGTCGACAGACTTCAGATCACAGCGTGAGTGTACGCCTAGATAATTTACGGAATTGGTAATGTGTAGCGGTTGGCCGGCTAGGGTGTTCAAACGCCCATTACTTTCCCTCCCCAGGCTTATAAACCAGGACTTAACCGTGTTGACAGGTAGGTCAACCTCCGCAGACCACTGGGTTAGGCTGTCGAGGTCCTGCTGAAGGAGGTCACAATCGCCGGGAGAATCAATAATCCTCCAAATCTTCAGGTCATCCGCAAGTAATACGCAGGGCGACCGAAGAAGCTGAGGTACTCCATTGATGTGGATCAGGAATAAACTAGGCTCCCAGTACTATGCTTTTGGGTACGGCCGC